TCTTATCTGCCGCCAAGCTAGATAAGGCAATAATCGGTTAGAGGTGTTTCATTATGTGCAAAAACAAACCCATATAATAAGTCTCTAATCGAGCCACGTTTTTCTAGCTTAAGTTTGAGGAGCACGCAAACAGTTATAGAACCAATTGTGGCTTTAACTAATAACTTAAATTATACGTAAATATAGGTAAATATAGGGCGACGAACAAATGTGAACTCCAAAATGTGATTAAATTTAATAAATCAAAAAAGTTAAAAAACATTTCATGTGTCGAACTAAAATAAGAAAATAATAAGAGCACCAAAACTGTATTTGATTACACTGAAATTGCGATGTTAACTGCGCAAAGTAAACGAAGACATGTGATTTGATACGGTGATTGTCCAACCGCAACAAAGTAGTCCAATCCATCCGGTCGTATAATGTGGTCTGTGTAGAATTTACTATTGAACACTCCAAGTGAGCGCCACACGCAATTGAACAACGAAATGACTAAACATAAAATTGCTGATAAGGGGAAATAATGGAGGACGAAGGCGGCAACGTAGGAAGAAGTGATCCACAAGTTGAGATAAGAGCCACCTTCGAGAGCGAATTGCGAATCAGCCAAGCGCAATCGCAAAAAATTGTAAGGAGAATGCGAGTAGATAACAAGACCAAGCTTTAAGGGAATAGCCGTTGACTTGATCAATTTATCGGTCAGTTAACTTTAAAAGGACCAACACTGTTTGTTCTAATAAAAAAGAGCAAAATATATCAATAAGTACATATTCTTTAGACTTTTCGGAAAAAGGAGGAACAAAAATTGTACTTCTGTATCAAATTGTCTGCGATCCACCACTATAATATATATTTTATATACTCTATTTACTGATACCCTTTGGTGAAAATTACAATAACTTGTATTTAACTTAAAAAATCAAAGTAACATTTTGATGGAATCGATTTTTACAAACATTTTTCATTATTATTAAGTACTTTGAGAGAAAATTTCGTACTAGCTGCAAGGTTCCATTCAGAGTTCTCTTAAACTGAGAGTCTTGCTCAGCGTGTGGTACAAATCAAAAATATATACTTTACTGAGTCGCATATTTCTTCTTTACTTGATTACAAACTTCTGACTTGACTAAATTGGCATTGTAAAGTTATATTTGTTTTATTCATGCACCCCATTAACAATTAGTAGTCACGAGTGCTGGCCAAAACAGCCGCAAGTACTATTGAAAAGATCACTGATCAGATGTAAGCGCTGTAGAGAGATGCTTGTACTTTGGAGTATTTTGAGTAAGCACACGTCAGTAAAAGGAAGATGCGATTAAACCACTCAAAAGCTCGGCACAAAAACAATGCTTGTTTTGAATATAACGTTTGCGAAACGCATACATTCACAAATTGCAGCGATGTTGTTGTCGCCGCATTCGCCTGGGTTCGTTTTCATACCTTTTGCAGGTTGCTCGGCATCGTCCTCCTCTGTATTAATTATTGATCTTGTTTATCCCACAAACACACAGCCACGAGCACAATAAGAAGCAATAGTAGCGCGATGGATTGTTGCGTACTTGTACGGATTGTTGTTTTCAGCTTTTCGACGTCACTTGGTATTAAATATAGTTGCAACAACAACGACAGTGTTGTAGTGTTAAGTACATGCGCGGGTCCAGGCACAGTTAACGGTCAGAATACGTCCACTCGGGGGGACGATTTGGTTTCAACTACTAACACTCGCTGGCTCCGATCGGCCTCCAAGTTCGAAAGCTTCCGTTTCATGGGAGCCAGGCCCCAAGAGCGGCGCGAGGCTATCAGTTCTCGCTCTCCGTTTTTTTTTTTTTTTTTATCAGAAGTTTTTTAATACAGCACTTTGTTGGAGGAATCCAGAAAAATACCGAACCTGTTCAATCGATCAAAGTGTAAGGTACATGAATATATCGCTAATAATAAGGTTGATATTGAGTTAGAAAAATTTTTTGAAAAACTTTATGAAATGTAAATACATACATATGTTACTTGATAACATGTAGTTGGGCCATGCCAGCACCTTTATTGTCGTTTAGTGTCTTTGGCATATTTGTTTTTCACTGGCCTTTTTCTAGGCCAACTACGTTAAATTGCGTTTTTAAAATTGGGACGTTTACAAAAGCTTTTCTGGGATTTTTCATCAACTTGTGTGACCAGCGGCACGAACGCCACAATAGCTTGTATCGACAGAAAAGCTCTGTAGCACTTACTGTATTTTAACTTGGATCATTTTTTAAATGTTTATTTCAGAAAATGTTACGTACTGCTGTTTTAAAAGTTTTTCTTAAATCCAGAGGGGTAAACAAAAATTTAATTTCCGCTCGTCTGTTCGTTTCCACGCAAACTAATCCCAAAATCAAATAATTATATGCTACATATATACATATGTATATATATATATACATATATCTTTAATATATCTCCTTCTTGTTTTGGATCGATAGTTAACGATTCAACAAAAATCTGCAAGGGTATACAAACTTCGGCGTGCCGAAGTTAGCTTCCTTTCTTGTTTGTTTATCAAATAGGAAGTTGTTTTTTAAATTGTTTAGGTGTAATTGAATTAATTTAGGTAAAGTCGTAGTATTTTCTGAAATATAATAAATTAAAAAAAACTTCTATCTCAGAGTAGATGAAAATACGTTGAAAAACAACGAAGTTATAATTTTTTATCTATTAATTTCCGAATCGTTCCAATGAGATATAGTCGTCCAATTTTCATAAAATTTCATTTGTATGGCAGCTATTTGATATAGTCTTCCGATGCGGCCCGACATATATAGCAGTGAGTGTATTCAGAATACTAGGACTAAGCAAGGGTATACAAATTTAAAAATGCAGAGCAAAAATAAATACCACAACAAAATATTTGAAATATAAATTTTTCTAATTATATTATTCTCTTTTATAAATTGACTAAATGCTCTTTTTACATATACACACATATGTATATGATATGACAATAATAATAATAAGTTTTGATATCCTTCAAAATATATTAATATGTTAATATATATTATATGCATAAAGTCGAAGCTGTGGTGATAAATGTTAGATTTTTATAAAACTTAAACCGAAATCCCTGAATTACAAATATATATGTATATATGTACATATATATTTTTTTAATTTCCTTAGCGTTGCAATGGCAATTATGGTATAGTAGTAGTCCAATCCCACCCGTTATGATTTAAAGTTATTGCATCACCAAATGAAATACAATTATCAAGTACTATTATTATAGCATTGTATTTTAAAATATTTAAGTTGAGGCTCGGAATCTGCCAGGCAAGTGGATGCATTAAGTTTCTGTAATGTTTCGTTCGGAAGTTACAAGAACTTTAACAGGGATATTTTAGTAGCACTTTTAACAAGTGAGATCTAGAAAGTGTGTAAAAAAAGCTATATTTTTTTTTCAAACAAATTTCCAAACGTTTCTATGACAGCTGTATATGATATAATCATCCGATCCGGCCTTTTCCAACATATGAAATAACTCCAAAACTGAGTAGTAACGAACAGACGGACATGACAAAATCGACTAGGCTACTTTATAGGGTCGGAAATGTCTCCTTAAGGGGGGTAAGGTTAATTCGGTGCAAAAATGCCCACTTTTCAAAAAAATGTTGTGGCGAAACGGCTAAAGCTAGCTTAACGAATTAAATACCATATAATAACACAACATTTGAACAGTTTGTGATAAATTTTGTATTGAAAAATATTTAGAGGTAGAGGAGTTATAGGGAATCTCCCGAGTCGCCTCCAAAAAAGTTGGTTTGCGGTGTACATCCTAACTGTCCACAGAATCATCCGATCTACAAAAATTATACCTCATTCGTTAAAGGATAAGTGTCCCGAGGTATTCTCGAAGCGTTTTTATTTTTAAAATTTTTTCCCTATTTTTTATCAAAATTTGAAGTCAAAACCCCGATTTTTGACTAAAAAATTAAGTTAATTTGTTAAATAAAAAATATAAGAAAATTAAAAATTAAAAAAAGCTCGACGAGAATACCTGTAGAATTATCTAAAGAAGTTATGTTCCAAATTTCAAACCGATGGGTTCAGTATATTTTTAGTTATCGTGTACACCGATTTTCAAAATGGCATTTTTCAGGAGAGCGCTTTAAACTTTGTGATTCTCATGCATTGAACACCAACCGACCTTCGTTCAGCTCCGCATAACTTCGTCAATTTTACTATGATTGATGTAAAACTTGGACACAATATTCTTAAGATATTGAACTTTTAAAAAAAAAATAAAAAAAATTTACGAAAAAAAAAATTAAATACCTTACCCCCCCCCTTAACTAAGTTGCAAACTTTTAACTAAAATTATAATACCCTACAAGGGCATACAAATTCGGGTAAACCAGAAGCAAAGTTTAAGCTTTTCTAAAAAATGCAAACAAATTTGTGTAAACGGGAGCACACCTGCCTGTTTATATTAAAACAAAAGGCACCCAAAACAATATTTATTTTAAATATTTACCTAAATATTTTACCCACAAACTCTTGCAACACGCGATATTTGTTCGTAGCATCATGGCTATTATCTTAGCCGCAGACAAAAAATATACCAGAGGAGCTTTTCTGGAAGATTCCAGAAACCAAATTTTTAAGTTCAATTCATGGCTTTCCATTTTCGATTTTTGGCATGAAAAGTACAGTCACAATACAATTTCAAGTGAGTTTTTCCTGCAAAATAGAATACAAGCCGACAAACGAAAACAACACATATGGTCTTTGTGAGTTTTTCTGCCATTTATTTGTAAATGTTCTCGAATGTTTTTGTTTCTGCTGAGTTCGGGCTTTAGTTGGCCATTATTAGTTAATTATTTTGGTTTGAAAAAATTACTATTTCGGAATTCGTGGTGTTATCATAACAATTTCGGGACAAGGAAAAATAAAAAACCAAAGTGAAAAGAAACGTAACGTAAGAAACGTACGAATTTGGAGTTGACAATGTTTAACTATAATAGTTCGAATGCTTTTCCAACATAACTTTTTATTATAGTTATAGTTTCCTGTGGATATTACATAATATTGAAATTTTCATACATGATATAAATTTGATTTCTTTTTCAGCTTTGTTTTGTTTTATTGTTTCTGGGGTACGACGTATTTAACTTCTACAGACTAGCAGAAGTCTTTCTGGGATGTTACTACTGGCAGCTTTTTTGTTAAATTAGCTGATTTTGCAGTTTCTCGTTTGAAATATATTTATACATATACATAAATATATATATATATATATATATTTATATATATAGTCATATACAATATAGGATCATAAAGTTGTAAAAATTAAATAGTATTCTAAAAAATTAAACTGGAGAAAAAATGCATATGGTTTCATTTTCTTTCTTATTGTTTTTTGCTTATTTAGGGCCTTTTTGTTTGAAATTTTTCTCTTTCGCTTCGTATTTATTAGAATTATTAAATTTGACGATTTTTGTTTACAACTTTTAATCTTAAAACATAGAGGGTTCCATCTTACTTTTGCTTGATCTTTTCTTTCTCTTAATATTTTGCTTTTTATATATACTTTCTTTAAAGTTAAGATTTAAGTAAGGTTTTTTAAATGATAATGGATTTTGTTTCTTCTTTTTGTTTGTTGGTTGATTTTTGTTAGTAGAGACAGAGAATCTGGGTACACTTTAAGACTACGCTCCCAATGCAGGATTGTTATTAAAGAATTGCTCCCGCCTTTGCACCTACACAGTCACTAACGTGCACACCCCCACCCGTACGGCCGGTGAGCGGAACGTATGTGCTGCTGGTGGCGGCGGGCTTAACCATTATTTTGTGTGATTTGTTTTGTTGGTTTTTTCGTGTGTTAGTAAGTATTTTATATGTAGAGTACTGTGTGCTGCTGCTTGTAGAGAGCCGGTTTCCGCGATTCCCTTAGGCAGCCACTTCGCTGGCCTCGGCCCCGTTCTGCACCTCATCCTTTGTGCTGGCCTCGTCAAGCTTTGCCTTCTTCTCCGGCGTAGCAACTGCCTCGTCGGCTTTTGCGGTGGTCTCATCCACCTTCCGCTTCACAGCTTCAGCGGCAGGGGCGTCTGCAAGGCGTTAAATTAAAACAATTATAGCAACGGATAGATGAGGGTGATATACCCTTCTTATATACTTGATCACACACCTGTTGAGTCACCGTTGGTGGCCTCCTCGGAGCCGTTTTCGACAGCGGCAGCAGCCTCGCTGCTGTCCTTCTTCGCCTCCTCGCCAGTGGCGGCCTCCTCCTTCTTCTCTCCTTCCTCTTCCTTGGCGGGAGCGGTAGCATCGACCGCCTTCTCACCATCGACAGAATCGGCAGCGGCGGCTTCGGCGGGTGCGCTGTCAGCTCCGTTCTCCTTGGCTGCGCTGCTGTCCTCTTCAGCGGCACCGTTCTCTGTGGTGGTTGGCTTCTCGGCTGCTGCATCCGCAGCGGCAACGGAATCCTTCTTCACAGCATCGACTTCCTCAGCGACGACTTTCTCCACAACGGGGGTCTCGCTGTAAATTAGGGCAAAAAATGTGTTTAAATTAGTATATATTTTAAAGTTGTATACATTTTTTAGACAAATTTTAAAAGTGGAAATTTTGTTCAAATAATCCAAAACACAATAACATCAATATTAAAATAGATCACATGAGTTGCATTTAGTTATGAAATTATCTGTGTCTTACGTTTGGAAATTCCATTTTATAGACAAAACACGTATGTATTTCAAAGAATTATGAAATTTATAAAAAAATGTATTTACGAAAGTGGCCGTCAACGTTTTCATATTTCCTTCGTTCTCCCTGCTTTCTCTCCCTCCCTTCCTTCATCATCCCGTTCGTGACGCTTCTTCCGCGTCTTTTTAGTAACCCTACAACAACACAAGGCATCATTGTAACATCTGCCGACGCTGGCAGCGCTGCCGTAAAATGTTAAATGGGAGCAACAACTCGTGCAAACTGCGACGCAAAAAGAAAAGGTGAGCGGCATTTGGCAGCGTGCTCTTTTCCATATGTAGTATATAAGCTATGTATATACAGATGGATGAGAGAAGTGGGAAGCATAAATGAGATGCTTGCAAAAAGTAAAAATCGCCAATTGTTTGAAATAAAGCGAACGAGCGGAGCACAGAAACTGGTTTTTACACCTATAGTCGACTCTTTCGCACGCACGTTCAACCGGGTAGACGCCACCGCGTCGTGTAGCCTGTTGGTGAGAGTGAGATGGACAATTCAAGTCGTGTGCAACGCAAGCGAAGCGCAAAATAACGGTCAAAAGGCACACATACAGCTATAGAAAACACCCACTATGCGGCAGCTTCGACCCCCAGAACTGCGACACAACCTAAGACAACAGATAGAAATGTAACTGGTTTTCGCTGGCTTGAATTATTCGCCATCCTCAGATGATAAAAATAACCAGCAACTAAACACCGGCGACGACGAGAACGAGATTATTTTGGGCAGTGACAAAATAGCTAGAAGAAAGAACAAGAAAAAGAGGACAGAACAACTAAGTTCATGCCAAGCTAGCTTTGAGCTTTAAGCGAGTAAAGCCGTGTAGATGGCAACTGAAAGATTAATGGACTAGCGGGGGGAAAGAAGCAAATGCTAAAGCAAACAGTCAGACAGACAAAACGACAGCTGAAATCAAACAGCACAAGAAAAAGAGCGGCAACTTGAATGCCACTCATACACACGACTCAACATTTTGCGCACTCCGCTTGCACACTCAGAAAATATTACTTCGCTACAGAAAAAAAAACACACATACATAAGTTAATTCTCGTTGTCGTTGGTTTGCCGGCCGGAGAGTGAGCGAGAGAGTACTACGACGCCGCGCCAAATTCAACGGCGTCGTTTTTTGCGCGCACCCTTACTAGACACTGGCGAGAGCGAGACAACTGCATTGGTGCCGCCAAGCAATTTGCGTGTATACACAGAATTCAAAAAGAAAATTTTTCCAAACCGCTGGGGCTATACAGGGAAAAATGTATGTTTCTACAATTTCAGGCATCGGCAGCCGCCTACAAATCTTTATAAAGTTGCTTAAGCAAAACGCACAGGCACACAGACACCACCATAGAACAAGCCAAATAAAATTACTCACTTCTTTTGCTCAGCCACATCAGCCATTTTGATTTACTGTTGGTTTTACTTTCAAACGAAGCGCGAAGACACGTTAAAATTCGAGGTCCGGTGTGTGCAAATCACGGTTCGCAGTAGATCACGGAGTTATAAACAAACTGGCAAATTTTATAAATTTGTGCAGACTGCCGCTTGTTCTTAGTAGCTTTGCTAGAAGTCGCTGGTCGCTGGATTTTTGGATCGTCCGTCCACACAGTCACACAGAAAAACGCCGAATGAGAGAGCGGAGAGCGTCGGGCCGGCTTTTAAAGCGGCGGGCTCTGGTTGGTGGTTGCCGGCTCTCTCTCCTCCAGAGTTGCCACCTCTTGCTGGAAAAAAGGCTGTTTTTGACGGGAAAACCGATAACCGAACCACTTTAAAAAAAACTGGTTTGCAGAAAGTGGTATAGTTATTGTATCTTCTTGTTATATATTATCGGTAAAGTCATGTATGTTTGCGGCTTGTCCTGATTTTCATAAGACAATACTTGTGCAATCATTCATAAAAATTTGTTCGGAGCCTTATTTGTTGGAGAATTTTGTGGATTGTGTAAGCCCTGTTTTGTGAATTTTTGTCAAACATATCCATATAAGTATTCCTTAAAGTATTTTTGTAAAAGTATCATTCAAAGAAGCAACGTAACGTAATTCAAAAACAATCTGCAAAAATCTTTTAACGAAAATAAAAAGCCAGAATCTCCGCTGTTGGCAAATATTTCTAGCAAATGGTTTGATTTGGCGTGAAAAAAGCGAATCTGCCAACAGTGGTTCGTGGTTTGGTCTGCCGCCACCGAAACGGCTTAATAATTTAGCTAAAAAAATGAGAACATACAAATATGCTGATACATAAGCGTTTTGATTATTTTGATTTTATTTTACGTCTAAAAAATCATTTGTGGTAATATTTATGTACATTTTCTTAGATGACAATAGTCAACTGTCGTAGCAACTGAGAGAAGTTTGGTAAAGATGAGAGTGGGAGAGCTATTTGCATGGATCTTTTTTTCAGTTGCTCATAATTTTAAAAGGGTTGTCAGGTTATTTAATGGCAAAGAGAAATTGCATAGTCGTTAATTATATTCATTTTTATGGTTGCGCGGGAAAATGTAAGCCAGGTAAAATTGTACCTGATGAGTACATATCCTCAAAGGAATCCCTAGGATTAGGCAGCCTCACGTGCCACAATACATACACATGTACATACATACATACATATGTACATAAGTCCGTTCTGAGATTCCTTTTCAAAAGAAATAAAACAAAACGACAGATGTTTTGTGATCCGATACGCAAGATGTTCCGGAAGGATCCCAAACAAGAATGTATGTACATCCATATGTATGTACATACATATATTTCTATGCATTAGCACAGCCTATCTAAAGTATATATATATATGTATACATAATGTATAAATGGTGAAAAATGTTCAAAAAATCACATACAATTTAAAAATGCACGAAATCTTTATTTGAAAAAATGAAAAAATGTAGTCTCGAAAATAGAAATAGAATAGAATAGATTCATGGTTAACCAAACTGAAGATGTTTGACAAACTAAGAAATCACCCTATTATAAATATGATTATGGATCAATAACATATGGAAGTTACTTGTCGTTTAATTTGTGAATAGTTTTTAACCCAACTGTTTATGTCTGGGAGTACTTAGACCGCAGTTGTACTAATGTATTACTCGGATAATCATGAAAAATCGGGTATACTACCGATTTCTGTTCCAGCCCACTAAAACCTTTTTCAGGTAAGCCAGGTAAATGGAATTGACCTACGTTCCGGATTAGTTTTATACCAAAATGGAACGCAATGCACTAGCAGCTGCCTTCCTATGAACCGCATTTCTACATTTTGAACGGTTGACGAGGAAAACGGCAGCTGCTGTCCTCTAAGATTGATATTCTTTTAACAGAACTGTAGAACTGTAAAAGGATTTTCGTCAAATATAACGTTTAAAAGGACATATCGAAGCATATCCGAGAAAGTATCGTATGTGGAAAAATCAAATTTTACAGGATAAGCTTTTTTCTCATTTAATCTCTTAGGAGGCACTATAGAAAAGACAAAATTGGAACTTCATTTTTATCGGAACTATAGGGCTTTCAGTTATAATATTTCACAGGGTGGTGAGACATTAGATGCCTAACAATTTTGCATTAAAATCTCAATTTCGAAAAAAAGCGACATACGATACTTTCGCGGAAATGCATCGATATGTATGTACATATGTATGTATGTATATGTATTTAAATCACTTATCATGGGAATTATTAGTTTAATAAGTAAGAGAAATAAGGAGAAAAATAAATGTAGGCAGTTTTCAAAAAACAAGAAAAGAAGCCAACAACTGCTCGCGAAGTTTGTATACCCCTTGCAGTTTGTAGTTGGATCATTAAGAATCGATTCGATTGGGTCAAATGAGAAGGAAAACGAACAGAATACACAAAGTATTTATATTCATACATACATACATATGCATATACAATATAGAAATTTGTGTTTGATAAAATTTCAAAAAAATATTTTTTTAAATCGTATAAAATAACTATATTTTGGGTTAGAAATATGTATTAAAATATAAAGTATAAATATGAATGAAAAACGAAGTAATAGGAAGTTTAAATACATTTACCTATACTTACTTACTTACTGTTTTACAGTTAAAGTTTTGCATTCGCAGCTATGTACATATATTAGGAAAACAACACCAAGTTCTTAAAAAACTTGCTTCATTGCTTTTTATATTGTTCTAAAAAATAAATTTTAATTATAAAATGTCACAAAAGTATTTGTTTTTTGTTTCGGCGTTAAATATTCTTTTTTTGTTGTATGTACATATGTATATAAATATTAAGTGTTAATAAGGGACATTGATTAAGCAAAGCTGTTTTTAAAAAGAAGTCTGCATAAATTCTTAGATATTCAATATTTTACAATATGTACACATGTATGTACATATGTACATATGTATATTGAAGTATATAAAAACTGCATTATTTAAATTCTATGTAGATATTAGAAGTACTTTAACATTCTCATTCAGGAGGACAAGCTGACGCTCTCATTTATAAATACTAGAATATTAATTAATGCACATCGGTATGTAAATATGTATGTATGTATATATATATATATGAAGAAAACAGTAAACTTTCTTTAAAATCTTTGTTTTTAATGTACATACATACATACGTGGCTCACAACTTATTTCTGACAAACTATACGAGAAATTAAAAAAAAATTTAATTGCAGTTATGTTAGGAAGGATTAAAGCGTTTATTAAAGCCCTTAATTATTTTTCAATTTTACTGGATAACGCTGAAAACTAAAAACTAAAAATATTGTTTATTTTTATGTCACAGCTTATTTCGTGGAAGTTTATCTTAAATATACATAACCAACTCTTCTGAGGTCTCCTTTGGAATCTTGGCCCATTCTTCCAAGGGGGTGTTTGTGACCATATTTATTAGATATCGACCTTTTGCAGGTGGCCAGATCCAAAATTGCCCACAAATTATAAATGACGTAATGGTCTGGGACTGGTTAATCGGATTCACCACTTGGGGGCAGTTCCAGATCAACCTGGTCTGCACAGGAGTCGATTTGTGCTTTGGCTCCTTGTCATGGTCAAAAACTCCACTTTAGGCCCAATATATCGGCGCTCTGAAGCAAGTTATCCCTAAAGTTTTCTATTCACATTTCCCTCGATGAAGACCAGGTTTCCAACACCGGATGCTGCCATGTATTTAAGTTTACACGAAATAAGCTATGAGCCACTGTACTTAGTCATATTAAGAAGTGTTCCAATTGATCAACATTGATCTAGCCTATTCTAAAATATATTTCGAAATATTCAAATGAAAATGCATTATTTTGGTGAAACAGCGGCTTTTGCTTTGTATAATCACTCGATGAATGCAAGAGTATAAATAATATTTTTATATGTTTTACTAATTTACCTAAAAGTATGTAAAAAGCAACATAAAATTGATTGCATTAAAATCTTGCATCACGTTTCGCAGAAATCAGTGCTTAAACACTTTTTTTTGAAAAAGTGATTTCTGTACGGTCGCGTGCCTTACATTTTTGTAACTATCTTGAAAACGAACAATTGCCAAAATTGATCTTAGCACAAATTATACATAGTGCTAACCAAGAACTATAAGTTTAAAATTTTACTAAATTACACATTGCATCACATTACATTATAAAAAAAATTTTTTTGTAAGGTTTTACATATTAATTAAAAATATGGAAAAAAAATAATCCATTAAACTTTTACTTAGTTTCTTAACATACGACAAGAAAGGAAACTAAGTATAAGCATAACTAAGCACGCCGAAGTTTGAATACCCTTACAGTTTGCAATTGGATCAAAGAGAATCGAGCCCTTCTAGTTAAAATTATAGAAAAAATAAAAGGAAATATATAAAAGTTGTATATTTATACATAGCAGATAATAATCTGGTTTTTATATTTATATTATAAATTTAAATGCTGAAAACCACACACAAAACAGAGTTTCATTACATTTTACCTATACTTATTATGTTTACAGTTTGACAGTTACAGTTTTACATTTCCAGCTTTACATTTTCTCTACATCTACCGATCGTTTCTATGGCAGCTATGTACATATATGATATAGTTGTCCGATTTTCCAAAACTTTGAAATAATACTATATCTTAAAAATGATAAAAATATGTTGAAAAACAGCCAAGGTATAATTTGTTTTTTCTAAAAATTTGTCGATTATTTGTATGGCAGCTATATGATATAGTCGTCCGATCCGGTCCGTTCCGACATATATAGCAGTGAAAGTATTCAGAAGACTATATGGAAAGTTTCATTCAAATAGGTTTACAACATAGGGACTACTTTGCATAGAAACCGACAGGTGGACAGATACACAGACGGACATGGCTAGATCGACTCGGCTTTTGATGCTGATCAAGAATATATATATGTACTTTATAGGGCCGGAAAGGTCTCCCTTACTGCGTTGAAAACTTCTGACTGAAATTATAATACCCTGCAAGGGTATAAATATGCGATTGAAGTCAGTGTATTTTTCTCAATTTTTGACGTCCGTTGTTACCCTTCTAATTTTAAGAACAAATAGTTATCAACTAATACGGATATTTAATGAAACAACAAGTCCCCTGCATTTGCTTTACATCTGCACACGCAGACGTACATATGTACATGTGTACATAGACCACACTTAGCAGCTGCACATG